CTGCGGGGCCGGGATGGTGATCGAGTCCTCTTGGTCGACATGGTTGGGGCTCGTCGAATTCGGCAGAGAGTGCAGGAACGACGGGGAACTGAACCGATTCAGCGAGTGGCGCAGCTCCTTGCTGAGGTCCTCCCACGAATCACCAGAGAGGCGACGGTTCTGCCACGAAAAGTCACGTTTCGATATGGATGCAATGCTGAATAATCATTGCGTGAAACGAAATGTCCCTGTGCTGACTGCATGAGAACCGCAAATGTCGTTCGAGCCCGGTTTCATCCCTGCTTTGTCGCAACTAGTGCCGTCTAAACTACAACGACCTTTGGAACCACGAAGTCAAAAACATGGCGGTTCAACATTTTCATGCGCAAGATAGGCTTTCTGCCTAGCATTTGCAGCTGGGGCTCGACACATGACGTTTGACGCAACTTGACGGAAACTCGCACGGTATGCCAAGACATATTTTTGATCACGATCTCATAATACTATACCATACGGCACGGAAACGGCAGAGATGTACCAAATTTCAAACCTCTTCACTGTCTACGTAAGTTCCGTCAATCGTCATAAGTGATGCGCTCGAGCACGCTTACACATAAACAGGATTTCGCTAAATGCCACTGATTGATCCGGCCATGTACTGTTTACATACGTCGAAAAACGGACATGGAAACAACGCATAAACGTGAAATTTGTGTGCTTATAAAAAATTGGTAAAAATACTTACACATTTTGTGTCACTTGAACTGCGCAATTTATCACTCATATTGAGACAACCCTGTGCAATTTTAAAGGCACCTTACACGTCGTAAAGGTCAATGCTTATGCTAAACTTATTCTTGTTTTTATGCAAACTCTTGCATAGCTTGTAACGAGCACTTTCGATTTAGGGGTGCTAGTTGCCGAGTGAAAAGGGCATGAGCGAACATTTGGAGAAAAATCATTAAGTACTGTCGTACCCTTCTGCATGGACGTGACTTTGCAGAATGGATGTGACCCAATGAATGCTTCTAGTTCAAACTGCATGGTATCCGCCGGTCCCAGTCTTACCAAGAGTGCCAAGTGCTGACTTGTCGTATAGGGCATTATTTTGTGCTAGACCAAAAGAAGCCTCAGTCTAGTCAAAGCCACAGCCGACGCATCAGTGTCTTCAACCAATACCTACCTTTTGGCCTCATTAGAAAGGCACTTTATTCAGACAACTTTTAGTAGCTACTTTGAAACTATGGTCAGTTATGCTTTGGTTGTTGAAAATACGGCATTAAGCAGCCTTATGAGGCAGCAGAGCACAGCAAAATGCAAAAAATTCGGATATATGCTATGGTTCAAACAACACTATCTCCTGCCGAATCTTGTGTACAGTTGTGATTGTTCATGCTGTTGCTGGACAGCACTGTCCATCCGTTAGCCTGCCGCTGCTGTCCGACAGATTTCAGGAAAACATGGCAGACATCGGAGCTTATGTAGCCTGCTTGACCCTGTCGCTGCCCTGTGAAGCATGCGGCCACCCACCGCTTGGACTTCACATGCGTGCGATATATAGTGTCGAACGCAACACAAAACCGCCACAATTGAGCTACATAGTACACGTGTCTTCAAGCATAGCGTTACCAGAAGCCGTCAAATTTTGAACACAAAAATCAAGTATCTTAAAGGGAGTGGTCCACACTCAGTAGCGGAGGCGGGGGGGGGGAGCACAGGGGCACATGCCTCCCTTAAATTCCGGAGAACCCTCGGACAGTTGATTACCGGCCACATCATCACTGACCCGATACCGCTCGCTCGTTTGTCAAACCGAGAACTTACGCCACAGTCGAGAGGCCTCACTCGGGGTTCCGGGCGTCTTTTTTCGCGGAAAAGAAGGGATATTTTCGTATCACGTGTCCACACAACTGGGGATCAGAAGATATATGCACTTTTCTGCTTATTTGGGATGTAAGTGCTGCTTTCTTCGTAGCCATGGTGCGTGCCAAATTTTAACGCCTTATGATGCAGGCAGCCCTGGTGGTTTCACTGAGTGATAATTTGCCCTGATAGCCCCGAAAAAGCTGCATCCGAAACTTTTGAACTGCATACATCTCTGGGGTGGGCGTCGACGCTAAGAAGCGCTTGTTGCGTGATCCATGACCGCACCATCCGATAGCAAAATTCAGGTTAACAACACATTTATGGTGAGACCTTAACGTGCCGCAATGCTCGGATCGGTCAACAATGCCCTCTGACGTCACCCGACCGCTGGCGCGGCCGCTGCCACGGGTGGCGGGCTGTCCCCGGTCAGGGTCAAATAACGAGCGCTTGAAGCGACTCGAACCCACCCCACCACCAGTGGGAGAATCGGAACGGAGGACGCTCTAACGAACTGAGCTGTCGAGAGGGGCTAGATTTCAGGCTAGATAGGCTTCGGGACGGAATTATTTAAATCCGGTTCACCCGTATATTTTCCACCTGGTGTGCTACATCAAGGTTGTGAGGAGTGGAAGTAACACACTTTGTGCGGTGTACTCCGGGTTGAAAAAAACTATTGAGGCGGTGTTCATCTATTTTTGCAAATAAATCTACCGGTAAGCATAGGCTCAAATCGTCGGGTTTCCTCATCATATCCAACACCCTCTTGATAACATCGCTCCTCACTCCTAGTACCATGAAGGTCGATCATTTTCAACATGAGAACTCCAAACTCATAACGCCAAGACACGGAGAGAACATGACCTTTTATCCGTATGTCAACTTTCTACATACGTCGAAGCGCTGGTCGCGCTATTCTGCACGTATATTCATTATACACGAATACACGCTATTATAGCACGTATTCTACGCGCTATTCGCTGGTAACCCGCCCGGCCACTAGCCTCTACCTACCTTGTCCTTCCAGTGATCGACCTGTCTACTGAGAATGGTGTGCAAGTTCGGTGTGCCAAAATAGGTACATCCTGACCGCTCTGAGTCATTACACCACAACGTGCAGATCGCTGCACCGTGACTCGTCTCACCATCGCTTGCTGTTTCCACCGCGGCGGGAAGCGCGCCCACAGGCAACAGCTGGGCGTCTGCTCCGGCTGCTCTGCAGACACCAGAATAACTGGCGTGATGTACCGTCTTGTGATGTACCGTGTTGAGCAAGGTACGATGACATAATCGAACCGTGGCGCATCGAGCAGCTTGTTTGCTAAGCAGAAATATGTATTGTCTAGAGCAGTCTTTTCTCCTTAAAAAGTATACCAATGGTTATAAGTGAGCTTGTTTCATCATATCTGATGCTTGCTTCAGTATCTCCAAATGTGAAACATTCCTTTTAAATGGTGCAGCCAGAATTTCGCCCTGAACGAGGCTAACATGAGCCATGGCCTATGGTGGTTGTTACGGACAAAATAGCTGTCCATCATGTATCTTAACGTCTCAGCAGGTCACTTTGCTGTACTCTTTGTCTTTTCGTCTGCCATTTAAAGACTGAGCTTTCGCCCTTCAAGGTCAAGGTCAAGGTGACCAAATGCCTAATAGATTGCTCCCATTTTGCCAATCGAATAAGAGCCAAGATTACGTATGAGAGTGGGTCTCTGGCTCGCTTCTTTTCAAGAGTTGATGAACATAAATTAAACAGTGGTGCTATTATGAGCCTTGCTGCCGAGTTTAATCTTTTGTTCCTGGAACGCATCAGCTACTGATTTTCCGAAACGGATTAAGATACAAAAATTTAACTATGCATATTTGAGTTGTTCAGTGAATTTGCGAGTAGCATTATTCACACATATAAGACAGCAGTAATAAACTGATTCCTCAGGGAAAAACCAGGAGAACCAGTCTATTTCTCCACTCTCTCGGTTTTTGTGCGAGGAATAAGGCTATTACTACTGACATATATATGCGTATTTGACACCAAAACGTAATTTCGTAAGCCGGCCTCTTCGCCCACTGAAATGGCTTGAACACAACAACATATGTTTTGCGTTGTGCGCGCGACAATTTGCTGCACATTCTCCTCTTTTCCAAGGAATCTCTCATTTTCCCCAAGTCCTCTGTATTCCGTCCATGTTGCCTATAGCTTGAAGTTAAATGGGATAACGGTCGCATTCTCAAAGTATTGTCGATAGCAGTAGCACTCTTGAATATCTAGCATAGCGGTGCGTTAAATATGATCGCACAGCGAGGACAGCTGTCCGTCCCGCTCTAGAAAAACTTAAAGTTCACTCGTGCTTAGGAACAGGATGTCTGGGGGGGAGGGGGGGGGGCGTCCAATATTTGAGGCGAGTAGCTTCTTCTTTATCTGAACTCCCAAACTTTTTGGCTCGAGCAAATCAGCACAAAACAATCAAGAAGCACAAGTACGTTTGGTAGTGTTTAATTTTGTACACCCTCCTTGACATAACTTCTATGAGCATTGGAACTTTGGATTTGACATAGGCTGCTTCCCTCGGAGTTAAAGTTCTCACTTCCCAACTTAACACGAGGGCATGGAACATCAGCACTGTCGCCACGTAATCTGGCACTGGCAACTGATTCATGAAGGACGTCACGGGATGTGTGGTTAGTATATCCCCGGCTACTGGTTGGCTGTCCCTGGAATATCCACGTTGCGGGACAGCTGGGAGGTTCATGGAGCCCCGTGTGCCTGTGGTGGTGGACATTAATGTTACAACAGGACCTTCTACACACAGGGGTGTTTGAATGTGTACGAGTCCTCGGCACACTGAAACAGCGGAGCTACGGCGAACCATACATGCGCAGCCTCTCACGGTGGTAATTTTTTAGTTTCCTTTTGAACATGGCACGTAAGGCCTGTCGTCACGTGACCTGTCACTGGCAACTGATACAGCCAGGATTAGACGTGACGTGTGCTTAACGACTATGGGACCCCCGGCTACTGGTTGGCTGTACTTGGAAACTCGACGTTGCATAACAGCTGAGAAGCCCATGGAGCGGCGCGTGCCAGTGGTGCAGTCTGCTCCAGACACTGGGAGAGGCAGTGTCTCACGCGGCTGGACCAGCTCTAGACGCACGCGAGAGGGATGCCGCGTTCTGCCGGCGTCCGGTGGTGGCCGGCCTTCTCGGCGCTGGTCTGCCTCGCAGGCTGCGGTGGTGACCTCTACACGGCCGGCACCCTGCGGCAGTACCTCAAGGAGGTGGTCAACGAGGCGCTGAATGTTCACTGCGAGAGTCTGAAGCAGTCAGGAGGTGGACTCAGTGCCTTTCAGTGCAGCTGCCCTGCCGGCTTCAAGTGGTGCGCTGGACACTGCTACAAACTGCAAGAGGCGTTCATGACGCATGACCAAGCTGAGGCCAGCTGTGTACAGATCAACTCACACCTGGCGGTGCCACGCAGTCGTGAAGAGAACCTGTGCGTCGCCGTTATGGCCAGTGAAGAGAACAAGTGGCTGGGCATCAACGATCGGTATAGCGAAGGCTTATTTGTCGATTGGGAAGGTCGTCCACTGACGGGAGAGCACTTCAAGGCATGGGCCCGTGGCCAGCCCGACGACGCATCCGATGAAGAAGATTGTGTGGAGATTTTGGGATCGAAGTCGAGTGAACACCTCATATACGGCAAGTGGAACGACAGAAAATGCACCGACAACAATCCTTCAGTGTGCCAACTGGCGTAGGCAAAGCATTCAATGCGGCCGATTGAAGTCTGGAAAGGTTTGTGGTTTGATGTACTTACTCCCGTATTCGCTTCTCTAACCGATCGAGTCGACCCATTTACGTGCTGCCACTGAAATAAAAGCAGATACAACATGCGACCACCTGATGCTTTTGTTGTACAACCGAGATCGTTGGAGCAGAACCCAAAGATTGTTCAAAACCGAACATTCTCCACGCAAACTCTGCGCAGAACTCAAAGGGGTCTCTGGCACGATGTGTCAAAAAAACGGAGAATTTTCTTGTCAGTTGCACAGAATGATTGAGTCGAGGTGCTCCTAGGCTCACTCTCCGTTTCACGCACTCGGAGGACCCCGAGTCTGTACTCTCAGCATGGGTCCGCAGTTCACGATGTCGACCGTGCACCTCTGACCGCGTTACGTACCACTCCATTGAGGCAAGACTGCAGGTGAGAGAGCTTTTCTGCTTCGCTCAGACCCCGATGCTCGTGCACCAGTGTATTTAACAGTGAGCTCCAACGAGGTCACTGCAGTGGCGAGCCGTCAAAGTTTTCGAACTTGAGCTACGGCCGCCGAGCCGAGTTATGCGCCGAGTCATGTGCCGAGCCATGCGCCGAGCCATGTACCGAGCCATGTGCTGAGCCATGTGCCGAGCCACGTGCCGAGTCATGCGCCGAGCCATGTGTTGGGCCATGTGCCGAGACATGTGCCGAGCCATGTGCTGTGCGGACGGTTCGATCGTTTCGGTAGGTTCTGAGAACTGAGTTGTCTGTAAGCAAGAATTTCGGACATAGGGTCAATACATTTTTAACTGCAAGGGGGAATCAGGTTTTGGCGCATCCAAAAGTAAAGTTTCAAAGCTGTCGGTGCTGTAGGCTCTGAAATCTAAGTGGTCTGCTATTGCATGGAATATTATCTTCGGGCCTTTGAGGTGTTTGACCTCAGGTCAAGTCTCGCCATTGCGATCTCATGATTCTCCTCATTGCATGAAATCGATTGGTGAAGGTTTCAAAGCAATCGGACGAGCCATTTCGGAAAACGAGCGTGTCAACTCCATGTGCCGGTTTCTTTAGACCCTGTCACGACTGGGAGCCCCTTGGACAATTGGCCGCTACCAAGCGTGTGATCGCACGGGTCATGTGTTACACGTCCACATGCTGGCAAGATGTTTCGATGGTTTCCATGTTTTGTGTCAGATGTCGGCACCTAGGACACGGAGCGATCTGGAAGTAGCGTGCTTCGATGAGAAATCGAACGGACAATCACTAGTACAAATTGTGGTATCGCACCTGCCCGTGTCACAAGAACACAAGCTACCAAGGCGAATGGTTGCAATTTTGACGGTTTTTCACGTTATGCGCCATATCCCGGCGCCCAGGGTAGCTAGAGTGGCGAATCCAACTGCAAAGCCTGCACCAAACCATTATTCATGCTTGAGGATAAGCGTAGCGAAGCAAGCGTGCAAACGCTTGTACGAACCAAATGAAGTGAAATCCCACGAAGACACGGTTAGGACGGGTGGTCGACCGTTTCCCAACGGCTTCTTCCGACCACTGCGCGGCACGTTCTTGGACGGGGACAGACCGCCACCAGGAGACGCAGGATGTCAGCCCGGCGTCGTTCGCGCCGGGACGGCGTCCGCGAAGGAGACGCAGCGCCGACAGTGTCGTGCCAGCGTCAGCGACGGGACGGCGTCCGCGAAGGAGACGCAGCGCCGACAGTGTCGTGCCAGCGTCAGCGACGGGACGGCGGCCGCGAAGGAGACGCAGCGTCGACAGAGTCGTGTCAGCGTCAGCGACGGGACGGCGTCCGAGAAGGAGACGCAGCGCCGACAGAGTCGTGCCAGCGTCAGCGACGGGACGGCGTCCGCGAAGGAGACGCAGCGTCGACAGAGCCGTGTCAGCGTCAGCGACGGGACGGCGTCCGAGAAGGAGACGCAGCGCCGACAGAGTCGTGTCAGCGTCAGCGACGGGACGGCGTCCGAGAAGGAGACGCAGCGTCGACAGAGCCGTGTCAGCGTCAGCGACGGGACGGCGTCCGAGAAGGAAACGCAGCGCCGACAGAGTCGTGTCAGCGTCAGCGACGGGACGGCGTCCGCGAAGGAGACGCAGCGCCGACAGTGTCGTGCCAGCGTCAGCGACGGGACGGCGGCCGCGAAGGAGACGCAGCGTCGACAGAGTCGTGTCAGCGTCAGCGACGGGACGGCGTCCGAGAAGGAGACGCAGCGCCGACAGAGTCGTGCCAGCGTCAGCGACGGGACGGCGTCCGCGAAGGAGACGCAGCGTCGACAGAGCCGTGTCAGCGTCAGCGACGGGACGGCGTCCGAGAAGGAGACGCAGCGCCGACAGAGTCGTGTCAGCGTCAGCGACGGGACGGCGTCCGAGAAGGAGACGCAGCGTCGACAGAGCCGTGTCAGCGTCAGCGACGGGACGGCGTCCGAGAAGGAAACGCAGCGCCGACAGAGTCGTGTCAGCGTCAGCGACGGGACGGCGTCCGCGAAGGAGATGCAGCGCCGACAGTGTCGTGCCAGCGTCAGCGACGGGACGCAGCGGACAGAACAAGAGCTACGACGATGCCTGGCTCTGGCGGTCGTGACAGAAACCAGTACCGAAAGAGAAGTTTAACGCGCCCTCGGGTGGGGGTCAAATTGACTCTCTGAAGGTTTTCAGAATGCTTTCCGAACGGTGCGGGGTAGTCGCGCCAACTTTTCTTGATTTGATTTGGGGTTTTAGGGCGCATCGACTGCTGTAGGTCATGCAGCGCCCATGCGCCAACTTTTCATAGCTGTAGGTAATTATGTAGTGGTGATGTAAAAAGCTAGATGTACCTTGCAATATCACTGGCCTTTGACAGGTCAACATCAGGTTATGGATGTCAGCAAAGGGCATTTATGAGCAATCATCCAACGTGATGCGAAACCGGGGTGTTAGGCAAAGCAATACACATCTGAAATAATTTATGAGGCAGTAAACCAAGTGAATTCATCATTCCAACCCATCCCATTGATCGGTGGTAAGATGTGAAGGTCAGACCGAGGTCAAAACTAATATGTTTTTTATTCGAGAGCTTGGTGTATGGGGCAGTTTCTGGTGCTCATTTCGAATTTATTGATGACAGGGATCGCAACAGACATGTACCATTGACTTTTGAAAGGTCAGAGTCGATCGCTGACCTAAAATGACCCAGGCCAACATTTTGTTTTTACGAACATACTGCAGTATGTCCCCGTCCAAGAACGTGCCGCGCAGTGGTCGGAAGAAGCCGTTGGGAAACGGTCGACCACCCGTCCTAGCCGTATCTTCGTGAGATTTCACTTCATTTGGTTCGTACGAGCGTTTGCACGCTTGCTTCGCTACGCTTATCCTCAAGCATGGATAATGGTTTGGTGTAGGCTTTGCAGTTGGATTCGCCACTCTAGCTACCCTGGGCGCCGGGATATGGCGCATAACGTGAAAAAGCATCACAATTGCAACAGTTCGCCTTGGTAGCTTGCGGTCTTGTGACACGGGCACGTGCGATACCACAATTTGTACTAGTGATTGTCCGTTCGATTTCTCATCGAAGCACGCTGCTTCCAGATCGCTCCGTGTCCTAGGTGCCGACATCTGACACAAAACATGGAAACCATCGAAACACCTTGCCAGCATGTGGACGTGTAACACATGACCCGTGCGATCACACGCTTGGTACCGGCCAATTGTCCAAGGGGCACCCAGTCGTGACAGGGTCTAAAGAAACCGGCACATGGAGTTGACACGCTCGTTTTCCGAAATGGCTCGTCCGATTTCTTTGAAACCTTCACCAATCGATTGCATGCAATGTGGTGAATCATGAGATTGCACTGGCGAGACTTGACCTGAGGCCAAACACCTCAAAAACGCGAAGAGAAAATTTCATGCATTAGCAGACAACGTAGATCTCAGAGCCTACAACACCGACAGCTGTGAAACCTTCACTTTTGGATGCGCTAAACCTGATTCCCTTTTGCAGTTGAAAATGTGTGGACCCTATGTCCGAAATTCTTGCTTACAGACAACTCAGTTCTCAGAACCTACCGAAACGATCGAACCGTCCGCATAGCCCATGGCTCGGCGCATAACTCGGCACATGGCTCGGCACATGGCTCGGCACATGACTCGGCACATGTCCCGGCACATGGCTCAGCACATGTCCCGGTACATGGCTCGGTACATGGCTCGGCAAATGGCTCAGCGCATGGCTCGGCACATGGCTCGGCATATGGCCCGGCACATGTCCCGGCACATGGCTCGGCATATGACCCGGCACATGTCCCGGCACATGGCTCGGCACATTTCCCGGCACATGGCTCGGCACATGGCTCGGCGCATGGCTCGGCTCGGCGGCCGAAGCTCAAGCTCGAAAACTTTGACGGCTCGCCACTGCGGTGACCTCGTTGGCGCTCACTGTTAAATGCACTGGTGCACGAGCATCGGGGTCTGAGCGAAGCAGAAAAGCTCTCTCACCTGCAGTCTTGCCTCTTACTGGAGTGGCACGGGACGCGGTCAGAGGTGTACGGTCGACACCGTGAATTGCAGACCCATGCTGAGATTTCGTACTCGGGGTCCTCCGAGTGCGTGAAACGGAGAGTGAGCCTAGGAGCACCTCGACTCAATCATTCTGTGCAACTGACAAGAAAAATCCGTTTTTTGACACATCATGCCAGAGACCCCTTCGAGTTCTGAGCGGATTTTGCATGGAGAATGTTCGGTTTTGAACAATCTTTGGGTTCTGCTCCAACAATCTCGGTTGTACAACAAAAACATCAGTTGGTCGTATTTTATATCTGCTTTTATTACAGTGGCAGCGCGTAAATAGGTCGACTGGATCGACTAAAGGAGCAAAGACGGAAGTAAGTACATGAAACCACAAACCTTTCCAGACTTCAATCGGCCGCATTGAATGCTTTGCCTACGCCAGTTGGCACACTGAAGGATTGTTGTCGGTGCATTTTCTGTCGTTCCACTTGCCGTATATGAGGTGTTCACTCGACTTCGATCCCAAAATCTCCACACAATCTTCTTCATCGGATGCGTCGTCGGGCTGGCCACGGGCCCATGCCTTGAAGTGCTCTCCGTCAGTGGACGACCTTCCCAATCGACAAATAAGCCTTCGCTATACCGATCGTTGATGCCCAGCCACTTGTTCTCTTCACTGGCCATGACGGCGACGCACAGGTTCTCTTCACGACTGCGTGGCACCGCCAGGTGTGAGTTGATCTGTACACAGCTGGCCTCAGCTTGGTCGTGCGTCATGAACGCCTCTTGCAGTTTGTAGCAGTGTCCAGCGCACCACTTGAAACCCTCAGGGCAGCCGCACTGAGAGACACTGGGTTTACTCTCCGGCTGCTTCAGACTCCCGCAGTGAAACTCCAGCGCCTCGTTGACCACCTCCTTGAGGTACTGCCGCAGGGTGCCGGCCGTGTAGCGGTCGCCACCGCAGCCTGCGAGGCAGACCAGCGCCGAGAAAGCCGGCCACCACCGGATGCCGGCAGAACGCGGCATTCCTCTCGCGCGCGTCTAGAGCTGGCTCAGCCGCGTGAGACACTGCCTCTCCCAGTGTCTGGAGCAGACTGCACCACTGGCACGCGCCGCTCCATGGGCTTCTCAGCTGTTATGCAACGTCGAGTTTCCAAGTACAGCCAACCAGTAGCCGGGGGTCCCATAGTCGTTAAGCACACGTCACGTCTAATCCTGGCTGTATCAGTTGCCAGTGACAGGTCACGTGACGACAGGCCTTACGTGCCATGTTCAAAAGGAAACTAAAAAATTACCACCGTGAGAGGCTGCGCATGTATGGTTCGCCGTAGCTCCGCTGTTTCAGTGTGCCGAGGACTCGTACACATTCAAACACCCCTGTGTGTAGAAGGTCCTGTTGTAACATTAATGTCCACCACCACAGGCACACGGGGCTCCATGAACCTCCCAGCTGTCCCGCAACGTGGATATTCCAGGGACAGCCAACCAGTAGCCGGAGATATACTAACCACACATCCCGTGACATCCTTCATGAATCAGTTGCCAGTGCCAGATTACGTGGCGTCGGTGCTGATGTTCCATGCCCTTGTGTGAAGTTGAGAGGTGAGAACTTAAACTCCGAGAGAAGCAGCCTATCTCAAAACCAAAGTTCCAATGCTCATAGAAGTTATGTCAAGGAGGGTGTACAAGTTTAAACACTACAAAACGTACAATTTGGCTTGGGGTTCCTGTTTTTTAAAGATATGACGCGTCACACTCATAACGTTTACAAACCTTTGCAAATCTGCTGCAAATGTATCCATAACATGGCTGATGGTCCTTAGATCATAATACTATGGCAGGATTGTGGGGTGCCGGGGCAATTCAACTTTGTGAAAAGACAGATTTCAGGACGCATCGGTACGGAAAATCCATGAGAGACGCCCTACCGATTTTGTGCGCGATGCCTCAGCCCGCAAATTGTCTCCAACAGTCAAACAGCGGGAGGACTGCGGTGTCTGAACGTCACGCCAGTCTGTCAAAGCCGTGTCTGCTTGTCCGCATATCACACAAGCCCAATAGATTGTCTTCCCTCAACCCCGGCACTGGACGTCCTTTTGGTCAACATGGGCTGGGCTGGGGCTGGTCGAATTGGGGGCTTTGGGGCTGGTCGAATTCGGTAGAGAGTGCAGGCAAGACTAGGAACTGAGCCCGTTCAGCGAGGGGCGCAATCACTTGCTGAGATCCACTCATAAATCGCCAGAGAGGCGACGGTTCTGACACGAAAAGATGATGAAATAGTGATATCTGACAGATATCATTATCATTATATTACGCTTCGATATGAATCCTGCTGAATCGTTGCGTTCAACGAAATGTTCCTGTACTGATTGCTGTGGCGCCGCCGAAGCTACATTAGAAGCGCAAACTTGGTTTCAGGCGTGGCTTCATCCCCGCTTTATCATAACTGGTACCCGCCTCAACTACGAAGACACTTACACCCACCAAATCGAGAAGATGGTGGCTCAACATTTCCACGTGCGATGTGGGTATTTTGCGTGGCATTTGCGGCTGGGGCAACCTGACGGAGTCGCGCGCGATACGCCAGCGCAGGTTATCGATCGCGGTATTGTATACACGGCACAATACGGCACGGAAATGACGGAGATATACTAAAGGTCAAGCTTATCCGCTGTCTACAGAGGACCTATCAATCCTCACTAGTGTCACACTCCAGCGTGCATACACATAAGCCGGATGTCGGTTAATGCCACTGACTGACCTGGTCACGCGCTGTTCACATACGTCCTTGCACGGACGTGAAAACAACGCATAGATGTCTGTAGCGAATGATGTGCAGTGATGTGTAGTGATGTGTAGTGATGTGTAGTGAGCGATTGTAGTAAGCGATGTAATGAAATGATGTCTGCGCGTTAACAAAACATTGGTAAAAATACTCCCACATGTCGTGTCCCTTGAATTGTGAATCTATCGCTCATAAGAGACAGCCCTATGCAATTGCAAACGCACCTTACACGTTTTAAAAGCTAATGGTCATGTTGAACTGGTTCCTGTTTTAATATAAAAGCTTTTACATGAGTTGTAAGGAGCATCTTCAATTCAAGGGCTCCAGTTACCGAACAAAGACATGAGCAAACGTTTGGAAGGAACTCAGTGAATGCTGTCGGACTCTTCCGCACCAGTGCGACTGCGGAAAACAGATGCGACCCAATATATGCTCCTAATTCGAACTGCATGATATTAGAAAAGGTCAGTCTCAGTCTTCTCAAAAGTGGTAAGTTCACAGCCCACACGTCAGTATTTGCCACCGGTATATACCTTGTAGCTTCTTACAAAGGCGCAAAAGTCGGGCAAGTGTTTGGAAGCTGCGTTTCGAGCCACTGTCAGTTACACTTTGTCTTTGTTGAAAACATGTCATTGCGCAGCCTTATGTGGCAGCGTAACACAACAACAATGGAATTATTTGAATGAGTGCTGTTGTTCAAGCGGCGCTATCATCTTCTGCAATCTTGCTCGCAACGTTGGTTGTTCATGCTGTTGTAAGACAGCACTTCCCATCCGTTAGCCTGCCGCTGCTGTCCGCCAGATTTCAGGAGAAAACACGGCATACGTCGGAGCTAATGTCACTTGTTTCACTCTGCCGTTTCTCTGTGAAGCATCCAACCGCCCACCATTTGTACATCCGCGCACACACGTTAAAAGCACGGCCTTTAAGAGGAAAAACACTACAATTTCGCTCCAGTGCACATTTTTTGTTCCAGCATAACGTTGTCCGAATCGGCAAAGTACGAACACGAAATCAAGCATCTTAAAGCTACCGCTGGATCGTGATTACACACAAGCAGGTACATACGCTCCATTTCACCCTTTGGTTATGGTGGGGAATATATTTATGGGGACTTCCTCTCGAACAGTAGCATACAGTTTTCAAGAGAGTAACCATGTAGACGCGCATAATTGACATGCCGAAAGTTTGGCAATGTTATATTCATTCAAATACATCCCCCTGCTCTGTGCTCGCGGGCAGTTCATGCAGCGGTTAGAAGCGTTGTTTATTTCGAATAAACGGGGGATCTAGGACGTCAGTGCTCAGTTCCATTCATCTCACCTCTTGAGTTAAAGACATTTGGTTGATATCATGTTGATATGGTGCTATCTAAACGTCACAGTACTTGCAACCAAAACCGGGCCATGTGAACGCTGGGTTGGCTCTCTTGTTTATTTACACGACACACTGTTGACGCGTTAGCCGCAAAAAGATACGAAACAGGGTGCGTCCGCTCCCACCTGCGCTCCAACATTCACTGCCGCCGCTCCGGAAGCGCTTGCTAACGTGTAAAGACCAGTAAATATCACATTGTTCACGGCAATTACACAAAGCACACATAATGGCTGCATTCAACAGGATAATATTCAAATACCCAGCCAGCAGTGGACAGCCCGGTGCAGCGATGTGCCCGACACCTCACTCTCCTAGTAACAGGGCGAACCATGCACCCGTGGCGGCGGCGACCCTCATCTCTCAACTCACCACTCTGCCTCAAAGCTCTATCGCATGACAGTCAGCCATGCGGTCAGGATATGCATTCGGAAGATAAGTAGCTTGTTGTAATGAATCGCCCACTCGTGAAATCACACCTACACCCAGCGGTAGCCACGGACCTCGGATGTAGCATGCACCCGACAGCAATGTCTGGGTCATAACTTCCACCAACGGTGGGGGAGGGGGCAATCTACGCAGCTACGCAGCTACGCACTCAGCAGCTCTGCGTTGAACTGTTCTCTGCTGGGCAGCGAAAAAGCCAGCGGAATCGGACGCCCACAGCCACCTGAAACGGATAAAATGTTCTTAACACAGTTTGCAAATTCAGCTCACTGGTAATCTGAGCGATATGTGAGATTTACACCCACTTTATAGTTTTCGTGTGGAATAGTTGGTGACAGTACAAGTCCGCTGGCATACTTTGCACGCACAGCTGTATATTGTTTTCTTTTAAGTTAACCATAACCATTCATTCTCGCACGTATCTTTCAGGATTTGTTTCCAACCTTTTGAATGAATGGATTTCTGGGATGAGAGCTCACGCTAGACACTGCTTGCTGTGTGAACCTTGACAACTGCAATCTGATCGTGCAGTTCCAGGTCAGGGGCAGAATTTAGCGGCAAAATTTCAACATGCCACAATATCCGGCACGATGCGTCGTGTCCTCTGACGTCATCTGAGCTTTAGCGCGGCCGCTGCCATCGGCCGCAAGCCACATCCGTCGAGGTCATAAAGCGAGAACCCAAAGCGACTCGATCCCACTCCACCACGGATGGGTGGATCGAAAAGTAGGTGCTCTAACCAACTGCACTATCGAGGCAGAAATACTTACCTCTTGTAGCCGACTTATATTTATGTATATCAACACATCCTATCCAGTCCAACCCAACTGCATCTGGGGCAAGCTATACGACCCAGATCTGAACTGGCACAGTGCACTCGAAGCTGCCTTGTCGTTGACCAACCGACAGCAAATCGATTTCAGGGTAAGGGAGCATCTTGCAGGGTACCCAAGCTAGAGAAGAGATACCCCGCTCTATTATCTTTGCATCGGGACCTTGCGCTTTTTGCTCTTTGTCCTGCCCCACTCTCCGTTGAACTCCATTTTTTACTTCAGTGTCGCACGCGCCTGAATACATGATGGAAGCGTTGTACGCGTCTAAATACATGATGGGAGCGTCGTGCGCGTATGAATACATGATGGAAGCGACGTACGCATATCAATACGTGATGGAAGCAGTTACATGTGATCCCAGCACTACAGTTCGTCTACCAATACCCCTCGCAAACCCGGCTGCTTGTTTAGCCCCGTGCAAGCCGGCGGCCAGCGCCAGCTCGGCGCCCCTGCCGCTGGCGTCGTTGCTGGGCTGACCTTCGGGCGCTGGGGAGTCGCTGGCGAGCTGAGAGGCCGTCACCGAGCGCGTCTGCAGCGTGCTGCTTCGGGCCAGGTTGGTGCCCTGCAGGCAGACACCGGACCGTCAACTCGAGACGCTCGGACGGCCTTGCGTTGACCCACGCATACTCACATCACTTTCACATCACATCACATCACGTCACATCACATCACATCACATCACATCACATCACATCACGTCACGTCACGTCACGTCACGTCACGTCACGTCACGTCACGTCATATCACATCACATCACGTCACATCACATCACATCACATCACGTCACACCACATCACATCACATCACGTCACGTCACGTCACATCACATCACATCACATCACATCACATCACGTTCTTCACAGCTGCGCGGATTGCCGTCTGCAATCGTCCTGGCGCCGTGCAAATGCATTGTGATGACGTGCGTGCGTGACGAGATGCGCTGAGGCTTGACGGCGCGTGGAGGACTTTTTCCGTGTCTGTAAGAAGCCAACTCACAAAACCGTGCGTCCCCAAAACGACATAATCCGGTCTCCACCTCATTAACAATTGGCTGGTCTATTCTGCTTTAGCGTGAGTGCGTAATAGTCCTTTTCACGCAAACCTTTGGGACTAAAACCTTCTTTGGTACCAAATTTGCAATCTCGAAAATATGACAAGCGGGAATGATATCCATGGTTCATCGTCAAACTTGCCAAAATAGACATAACGGTTTGCTCCAGAGGCGCTTTTGTTTCATCATCAAGCACTTATTTGTTAAGTCATAGTTGCAGTACTTAATGATTTGGTCCCATGCAACCAAATGCACAAACGTAAAATGGCGAGTAGGTACGTGACGATGAAACAAAAACGCTTCCAGATTCAGGTTTACCGGCTATTTTGATTTACCTGACGACAAACAAAAAGTTTTCATCGTGACTATCCCATTTTCCGTGTATTTCGGAACTAGGTGCATTTGGAATACTGCGGGGAAAATTAGGTAGCAGTGATGCGTGAAAGGTAAAAAGGCCTAATGTCTGAATGATGCACATGTGGATACCACGTGCAGAATGTGACCTAATACCCAAACCAAACATGTCTGTACAAATTGTTCTATCAGACGAGGTTGGTGCCAGAAGACGCACGCATTCACTGGTACAAAGGCACCAAGATAACACAGAGGGGAAGTTGGCTCCTGTTACTTAGAAACAACTCAGAGAGACTATGCCAGCCGTCACTGGCCCAGGGTACCGTCGAACCGGGCACATCACCGACCGTTCCTCTCCACCGTCCCGCGCCAGCACCAGCCCGTTCCGGCCGCCCCCCTCCCTTACTCTGTCAGCCCCAGCCCGCCCCGACTGCTCCCATCCCATACCCTCTCAGCCCCAGCCCGTCCCCACCGCTCCATTCGCCGTGTCCCGTCAGCCCCAGCCCGTCCTGACCGCTCCTCTCCCTTACCCCCTTAGCCCCAGCCCGTCCCGACCGCTCCCCTCCGCCGTACCCCGTCAGCCCCACCCCTTCCTAATCGCTCCCATACACCATAACACGTCAGCCCCAGCCCATCCCGACCGCCCCCTCCGCCGTACCCCGTCAGCACCAGCCCGTCCCGACCGCTCCCATACACCATAACACGTCAGCCCCAGCCCGTCCCAGTCGCTCCTCTCCCTTACCCCCCTCAGCCCCAGTCCATCCCGACCGCCCCCTCCGCCGTACCCCGTCAGCCCTAGCCTGTCCCGGCCCACCCCGTCCCTTACCCCGTTCAGCAGGCGCCGTAGCTTGCTCAGCCGTTGCCCCAGCTGCCGGTTGTGCTCGTCCAGCTCCTGCATCCTGGTCTGCAGGGGGGCCTCGCCCTCGGGTCGGCCGCCGTCGGGCTCCTCCGCCGCCGGAGGAGGTGCGTTCTCCCCGGAGGAGGCCACCGGAGGCGGGGCCTCCTCCTCTTCCTCCTCCTTCGACGACTCTCGACCCAGCTCCGGCGGGGGTGAGGCGGGCAGAGCCGGGGGCGGGTCGGCGTCGTCGCCGGCGCGCGGCGCCTCCGGCTCGGCGTTGGTAGGCGGACCGGCGGCGGCTGCCGGCAGGCCGGCCGGGGCGGCGGGGCCGGCGCGTGCCAGCCGCTGGTACTCGGCCTGGAGGGCGCGGTTCTCCTGCTCCAGCTGGCGGATGACGGCGCGCAGCTGCTCGTCGCGCGTCTCGTCCGACACGCCCTCGGACGAGAGGCTCATGCAGTACTGCGTGATCAGCTGCAGCTCGTCCTCACTGCACAGACATGGGACGCCGGATGGGTTACTGTACGCTCGGCAGTGCTTCGCTTCCGTGGAGCAAGTAACGGCCACGCTGCGGAACGAAATCTGTGACAAAGGCCTATGGCGTGTAACTGCCCAGAGTTGCAACATGTCCACGGTTCTAAGTGGCTGAAAGCAAACAGTTTCTTCTGAAAATCGCTCTGTAGGTCAAACAAGCAGGAAAATGACGAAAAAATAGTAATTCGCTGCAGAGCTGAATATGTTCCGTTTCATTTTCAATTTTTGTCGTTCGGAGCATTTCGAAATATAAATTTTCATAAACAAAATGTCATTTAACACTAAAACATTCCACAAATGCCGAAGGCCTTTGAGGAAAGAGCGCATGAAAGCGAGCGTGCACAAATACATAAAATCCCCATACTGCAAAGTCAGCCAAATTGACCTTTCAATTACATGAAGATGGGCTCCGAGAACGAACGACACAAGTACAGCTGATGTGGCAATGATGACACTACTGACACTCGTACACAGTGACACCCTGTAAAAAAACAATCAGGCGGCATCTTTTTTCAGAAGTGCCATGATACACTAATCTATCAAACGTGTTAAATCCCCATGCAGTTGAGTCCTCAAACAGCACAACCCCAATCATGTTTCAGACTGCCCGGACCGCCGCACCGCCCGACCCAGCACGAAACGTACCTCTCCGGACTGGAGAAGCTGTGAGCGTCCACTTCGGAGGTTGCGTGTCCGTTCGTGCGCGCGCCCTGGTCCAGTGAGCAGGTGCGCAGATGATCGGCGGAGGCGGCCGAAGTGACGCCCTGAGACGACACACCATTTGACGTCACGGCATTCAGCAAACAACAGCGCTCATAACTACCAGGCCATGATGTGTTTGGAAATGAACGACCGCAAAAACATGACATGAAGACGCGTTGTTTAAAATAACTTACTTAAAATGACTTGACCGCTTAGAACGGAATTCAACGGACGACAGCGCTCGTAACTACGAGGTCGTAATGTGTTTGGAAGCGAACGGCCGGGCAAAACAGGACATGCATACGTATTGTTCGACATGATGCTTCGAAAAGTCGGGTATATCAAACGATTCTGGCAGAAACGAACTGAGTTTCGTTGAAAGGGAAAGGGTGACAAAGGAACGTCATGATGTGTTTGGAAATGAACAGCCAGCAAAACATGGCACGAAGGCGTGTTGTTTAACATGACGCTTAGAGAAGTCGTTGGCCATATCGAACTATTCTAGCAGAGACGAACTGATTATAGTTGAAAGGGAAACTGTATAAGGGAAATATTAAAACAGCAGACCGAGCTCCAGCAGCCCTGAATGATGTGGCGCAGGTCCATGAGGCCGAAACCAAGGTATAGCTCCTGTGCTTCGTAACGGCAGCACTGATGCCGGCACCGCTAAAACATCGATGTTTAGGGACAACGAACCGGACGATTTATTGGCCAATACCTCAGCCATGGGCTGGACAGGGAGGTAGCCCAGCTTGGCATGCTTGCGGAAGTAGTGCTTCGACTTGAACCGGTTTCGTATCGACCTGGTGAAGTCCTTGATGTCATCGCTTGACGAACTCTGGAACACAGCCATAACGGTAACAAGGCCCAACGCGAATCCCGAAAAGACAGCAATAGCAAAAACAAAGTTTTTGTTTGCGAAACAGCGTGGTGCAAGACCAATCACGCAGCATCAATGGCACATGACATTCCCGAATAGAAAATGACTTATGAGCCAACCACCACTCAGCTTGATGATCAGCTTGAGAAATGCTTGTGCAACAATCATGTGCTCAGCGTCGCCCTTTACAACTCATCCCGCATTGCCGTTCAGCTTTCACGAACATGGTTCACAGAGGGGTGGGGAAGTAAAACAGTTGTATAAAATGAGTTTATTCAAATTGGCGGCACGCAACTCGGAGCGTGTGCTGAGGCTCTTTCGCCGTGGGAGGTAGTGATCTGGTCCAATGCATGCATCGCAGGCTATTTAAGACTATATTTCTTCCCTCCAGAGCATCTCAGATGATTTTCGCTTACCTCTGTGCAATATTCGTGCATGGGATGACTGAGTTTGTGACTTTTGGCGACACGTCCGGTGAAGAAGCATTGCTGACACATATCGAAGTTGAAACATTTCAGACACCGGTATCTGTAACGCAGGTACAACTGGATCAACTCAAGAGGGTTGGAAACTGCGTGATGCGCGTGACTGGTTTCATAAAACCATAATTACGAGCAAGACAGTCCTAGTTACAAGGAAGCAATGCAGCCCTCACACGGCGTTTAACAACTTTTAAGCTGTAAAGCTGACATATGCCACTTAATTATACGCTCCCTAACATCCTCAACACCGCATCACATTTTGATACCTAGCACATTAAAACCCGTTATAATGCGAACACATATTCGATGCATGATATGGAATTGAAAAACACGTAAAAGCACCAAAAGAAATGAGCAGATTGTTCACCAAACTTTTGGTTTCGGTTCGATACCCAACCAAGCTCACGGAAATCTTATAGAATGCTTACTTTCAGAACGCGGACCATCTCCACTACAAAGAAGCATGTGACAACGCAATTTACCTTACTTTTTTACGTGTATTTCTGTAACGCCCTTTGCAAGTCGGGCACTGGGAAAAAATCGCCAACACTCAAGTAATGTAAACCTCCGTGTCGCACTACGCATGCTTTCAGACATGCACGCTGCCTCTGCCGGCCCGAACCTGAAACCGACGATGGGGTACTCCTTGCAGCCATTTGCAGCGGGCATGATGTCGGGACTTCTCGGCGCCCGCCACCCGGTGCAGCACCGGCAGCCACACCAGGCTCTGCGGCTCGGCGCGCAGCCAGTCCAGGACCTCAGCTTCGCACAAGGTCGTCTCCTGCTCCCCCTCCTTTTCGTCCTCTTCGTCACCGTCGGCCGCGGCGGCTGCGGCGGCGGCGCGGAAAGCAGCTGGTGACAGACGGTTGCACGGCCGCGGGGCCGAAGGCGACCTCCTCGCCCATCTGACCAGGTAGCTGTAGCAGTTGGCTCAGTAGCCGACCCAGCTGCTTCTCGTTCAGCCGCTGTCGGTTGTCGGCGCCCAACTGGAACATGTCTGGGAGGAGGGAGCAACAGGTGAAAGTCTATCGCTGGCGGAGCCGGACCAGCGATGGCTTTGTGCACAGGGCCCCTTCTAACGAGTGATAGTGGTGAAACTGGACAGGCATGAAAATGCGTTTATTCTATTGTATTGCAGTATACTGTTTTGATCTTTTGGTACACAGTCACACACCGAGACATCATCCGCATCGCTTGATCCGATCCTTTCCCTCTTGTGCGCAGCCAGGCGTATCCCCGGGACACCTCCGCACAGTCTTCCGTGGGCTTTCCGGTTAATTCCTCTGATCGTTTACTGACCCGAGAAGTCCCTCGACCCCTTGCAGCTGCTATTGATCAACTTTTCAAGGTCATTCACTGCAGTTCACAGTCATGCCCTTTGTAAGACTGTGCATGCTGTCGCCTGTAAGCTAGGTGCACGCAAACATGTGCAGATTATTTCACGCCGCCTAATTCGAAGATACCCAAAGATGCACACCGTCATCAAAGCACCACAAAAACTCCTTCTCCAAGGCCATGTTGTTGTTCAAGGTCCAGAAAGATATGGCTATTAACTTATTCGTGTCTGAAGTACGTCAGCACGCATCGTCTCGTCAGCGGACAGCAATTAGCTGTCAACTAGCTTCACGTCTTGAATGCGAGTCTCTATCACGAACGGCACGTTTTTGATACATAATACAGGCATCTAAGTAATACTACCAATTATGACCAGCATGATGTTAAGAATCAAATGAGCATGAAAAGCGCCGCCACCGAGAATGCAAATGCACCTGAAAAACATGCCATCACGGAAAAATATGGAAGAGCACCACGACAAAAGGCCAAAACATGTGCACATAAATATCGACATCTTTACACACTCCTAACTTAACAAGCCACCTTGCGGCGAAATACAGTCCTATAAGTGGGTCAGCCCGTCCGCTGCAGTGGCAATGCTGCACTTACAACGCCAGTTTGGCATCGACTCTGATATTATAAAAACGTTCCATGACGTAATAACACAAGGCCATATTGGAGAGCATACTTACAAAACAGTACAGCTTTGTTGCCACAGCAATCTTTTGCACTTTACCACACCAATAATTATACGTGAGCCCTTTCCATCTCATTGATGCCTGCCTAAATATCTTCAAATGTGGGACATTCCTTTAAGCCCTACACCGATATCCACATGTAGACAGCAGAATATGCACGGGGTGTACCGCTGAGCCTGCTCGATGGATGGTGTTCATTCCCTCTGGTGACCCAACCTGATCTCCCTGGGACCAGACATTCCGCTCGGAAGCGGTACGCCTAGCTGGTCCGTCGACTGCCAATGCTACTTACGGCCGACGCCGACATCTGACCCGGCTCAACCGTGCACATTGACCATGAATAATGAGCACTTAGCTCTGTATGTGCGGTGCACGATGCGAGCGTCCGCAGCGTTTGACCTCACTTCCATTTCGCGTCGGACTCGGCACTCACAGCGGTATTTCTCCTCCAGATGTGCCTTGCAGAGAGTGATGATGGCCAGTTTAAAGGAGCTGACAGGAATGCGACCAGTCCGACGGCTGCAACGAAGGTGTGATGTCATACTGGATGCCAGAAAACCGCGCATGACATCATAGCGAGGCTGAAAATACAGCGGACTAAGGAGTTAACGTGCCAAGTGCCTTGATAGTGCACAATATTCCGTGGTTCTTTTTGACATTTGCACGCCAGATGCAAAGTCAATTGCATACCCACGATTCCAGCTCGCATGATACAACTCACTTCCGAACAGCACACTACATCAGGCATCATCATTTGAGTGAAGGGGCAGCAAACCAAGCGATGCTTCGCTCACCCCACTGCGTATCCTCGCACGTCGTAGTCACCGCGCGACAGGCCGCGGTGACTACGACGAACCGCGAGGCAGTTCCGATTCTCACTTGTAAACGCCAAGCAGCCAGCTGAGAGGAGGTCTATCCTCAGCGCCAGGTCCGCCGTCACTCACTTGTAAACGCTGAGCAGCCAGCTGAGAGGATGTCTATCCTCAGAGCCAGGTCCGCCGTCACTCACTTGTAAATGCTGAGCAGCCAGTTGAGACAGAGGTCCATCCTCAGCGGCCAGGTCCGTCGTCACTCACTTGTCGTAAACGCTGAGCAGCCAGTTGAGACAGAGGTCCATCCTCAGTGCCAGGGCCGCCGTTACTCACTTGTCGTAAACGCTGAGCAGCCAGTTGAGACAGAGGTCCATCCTCAGCGCCAGGTCCGTCGTCACTCACTTGTCGTAGACGCTGAGCAGCCAGTTGAGACAGAGGTCCATCCTCAGCGCCAGGGCCGCCGTTACTCACTTGTCGTAAACGCTGAGCAGCCAGTTGAGACAGAGGTCCATCCTCAGCGCCAGGGCCGCCGTCACTCACTTGTCGTAAACGCTGAGCAGCCAGTTGAGACAGAGGTCCATCCTCAGCGCCAGGTCCGTCGTCACCGGAGGGTCCATACCCCCGTACAGCGCCACCAGCACGGCCACCACGTCGGGCACGGCCACGAGACCGGTCGCTGGAAGGCGCCACGCCTGCGCCTCGAACGCCTGCGCAGCCTCGGCCAGCGGCAGCCGGTGCAGCAGCAGGGCGCGTTGCAGGCGCCGCAGCTTCAGCGCGGTCCTGGCGGCACGGGGGTGAGATGAGATGCATGACGTGCTGAGGAAGACGGAGGTGAGGCGAAAGTCTGACGTGCTAATGGAGACGGGGTAAGGTGAGACGATTAACGTGCTGACGAAGATGGGGGAAATGCGAGAGCCTCGCGTGCTGAGTGAGACGGGGGTAAAGTGAGAATTTGGCGTGCTGAGGGAGATAGAGGCAAGCTGAGATAACTGACGTGAAGGAGACGGAGTAAGGTGAGGAGTCTGACGTGCTAATGAAGACGGGAGTTAGGTGAGACGATTAACGTGCTGGCGAAGCCGGGGGCAATGCGAGAGTCTCGCGTGCCGAGGGAGACGGGGGTAAGGTGAGAGCCTGCCGTGGCGAAGGAGACGGAGGTAAGGTGAGAACCTGACGTGCAGAGGGGGACGGGGGGTAAGGTAAATGTTTGACGTGCCGAGGGGACGAGGATAAGATGAGAGTTTGGTGTACTGAGGGAGACGGGAGTGAGCTGAGATAACTGGCGTGAGAGAGAGGAGGATAAGGTGAGAGTCGGACGTCCTACGGAGAAGGGATGGGGTGAGGCCGATGATGCCCTGCCGCCGCGAGGGGGACGAAGCTGGATTAGACAGCCGCGGTTCTACCATGATGAGGAGGACAGAGGCGGGTGAGACAGCTGAAGCCCTATCATTCTGACGAATAGGGACGTAATTTCGCAGGTAATTTGAGGTACTGCCGTCCCCCAACTCACGATGGGGTCGGGGGTCAGTCCCCAAGTCACGACTTGGTCAGCATCGATTGAGGGGGTTGAACGGTGAAAAATAACGTAACCCACGCTCAAAATACGCCGAATATAGGATTGCTGATCGAATTTCGCTGGAGACCACGTTGGTACGTGGCCGGAGCCCCCACCCCCCCTAACTGAGAAGAAAACGTGACTCCTGCTGACGGAAAGAGGTTGAGGCCCTGGCCAGTGTAAGGTCCGGAGGGCACAGCGGAGGGTCTCCTTGTCACAGCCAGTCGTTCAGCAATCCATGTATCCGAACAAAGGGGAAGAAGAAGCTACAAGGAAGAAGCGGACGGCTTACTGACCATGACTGGCAGCCCCACCGTTCACAGCAGCCCGGCCGGCTCACCTGTACGCCGAGAACCGGACGGCGTCGAGCTGCGGCAGGCCGCGCATGAGCTGGTCGAGCCGCGGGTGGTCCCACTGGGTGCGTCGCTCGCCGTGGTGCAGGTAGTACGGCACGCCGTGCTCGGTCTGGGAACGCTCCCAGGGCGGCTCCACCGAGCGGCCCAGGTCGGGCGGCGCCGGCGGCCCGCCGTAGGCCGCCGAGACGGTCGACGCCACCGAGTGCAGCCGGCCGTTGAGGGCGGCCAGCCGAGCGGCGTGCTCCGGGGAGAGCGGCACGCTGCGCCGCACAGGGCCACCGGGTCAGACGGAGTCAGACGGGGTCAACGGGGGTCAGACGATCACCGGCCGTTGGGGACGGCCAGCCGAGCGGCGTGCTCCGGGGAGAGTGGCCACGCTGCGCCGCACAGGCACCGGGTCAGACGGGCGAAATGGGGTCAGAGCCCCACCGGCCGTTGGGGACAGGCAGCCGAGCGGCGTGCTCCGGGGAGAGCGGCACGCTGTGCCGCACAGGCACCGGGTCAGGACGGAGTCAGACGGGGTCAGACAGGGTCAGACGATCACCGGCCGTTGAGGGTAGCCAGCCGAGCGGCGTGCTCCGGGGGAAAGCAGCACACTGCGCCGGGTAAGACGGGGTCATACGAGGTCATACGGGGTCGGCTAGACAGGATCAGACGGGGTCAGGGGTCGGGGTCGGTTAGGCAGGATCAGAAGGGGTCAGGGGTCGAGGTCGGCTAGACAGGATCAGACGGGGTCAGAGGACCGCCTGTCGCAGCCCAACGACGACGGGAACAACTGAGACAGATGTCAGACGTCACAGCGCAGCGCTGGGAGTCGCTGGGTTGAACAGTGCGCGATTAAGCCAAGGGGCAATTCAAAGTCAGACGTTGATGCATAGTCTCTACGTTGACTTCGCAACTAAAATAGGCATCGATGTAAAGCCAGACGTGGTTCAGCTAACGCGCGTTGAATGACTTCGACCGGGTTGTAGTCAACTTGGCGTGAATCATTTCTAGTGCTTATCGGATTCTTCACCAAAGAGCGAATCTTTTCTCGTCGATCATCGACATCAATTACGCCCTAACAGCCCGTCGAACCTGCGCGCATCATACGCAATCACGCCATCATATACCGAGGCAGATCGCATTTACCATAGCCGATAAGCCACAAGCGTACAATCCGAGTCCGGCGAGCAGATCAGCAGCGTGACTGCCCGCACTCACTTGTTCTCTGCCAGCCGGCTGGCCTGGGCATGACGTCATCCAGGCTTCGTTGCACCTCCAGCAGGCGGTCCTCTGCGACGTCACCGTTGGTGACCACGTCAGGCTGGGTCTGTTCGATGTCGTTCAGCCGCTGCTCGACCTCGTTCATGCACCGCTCCAGCACGTGCCTCTCGTGAAACAGGCGTGCGGGGGAGTAGAGTTTGAATAGCGATTGAAACGCCCAAGCCTTCTCGACGTAAACCACACGAACGGTTGCAAGTTAATGGCAGTTGTCTTGCCCAAACGGGCGGCAACAGATCAGCTTCTTTCTATTGAGAGGATGGCCATTGGGATGCCCTTCCAAAGAAATAGAGAGATGCGTGCTGATGCTCACAGGATAACCGACGCACTGAGAAGGAAAGGCGAGAAATGCCCATGTGACAGAGTTAAGTAGCAATGATACACTTCAGGGGCAAAATGCCAAAGCAGACTATTAAACGTAGGAGTTAGCGTGACCACTGCCATAGTTCCCACTCAGTTGTACTCCTTCAAGTCAAAAGGTGCTCGTGGCGTTTTTTCTATATCGAGCAGGGTTGACAAAATGCCCCCATTTTATTTTCTGTAACAATAAGGCCATTCTGTAGCTATCAATCAACCGTTTCGCTCAAAGACCATACAAACTCGGGACGTGGCTTACGGAGTGAATCTAGTTTTAATAACTATTGTGTGATTTTAGGAAAAATGTGCAGCGCCGGTAGCTGGGCACACAATTTACGACATGCGATGGGTAAATTTGACAAATCTTTAACACGCTTAACACACACTTAATCGTCATTCTCATTATCATGGCGCCAACCATCCAGCGATAATCGAGCACGAGCACGCACACAATATTTCGCCAGGAGACGACATCGTTTTGACCAGGACAGAACGGTGCCTGAAGTCTCCGTAAGTGTGTGTCCGCCGGTCTCCCTCTACATAGCCGCTGGCTATAAACACGTTGGCTGTTGGCCCTGCCTCGTTTGCCAGCAAAGCCAAGTCACAAATCTCACAGCGGACAGCGGAAGACGATTGGCCTGATCGGCGGCGTCGTCGCCGGAGCCGCAAACACCACCCACATCGCTCTCCAAACATTTGTGCACGCTGCGCTGCTATCTACGCCCAGGGTTCTGAGGCTTTGGCAGATATATAGTGACCGTAAACAAGGTGGCTGTGGTGTTTGCGGGTGTTGAACGGCCTGGTCTCTGGAGCATCGTTTTCTAGCACACGGAACATGAGTCACTATGAAATGATGCGGCCGTCGGCCACACCCGTCCCACTGACATGCAGTCGTTGAAAACTTGAACATTCAGTTAGGCACGAACGCCGGGGGCCAGTCGAGATCAAATTTCGGCGCACAAACAGCACCAAAAGGCCGAACAGCAAGCTTGCGTGCATGACTTAACATCCCATTTTCCCGCACGCCTCCACGAGCGTGCTGTGGCATGCCACAGCGTGCCACACACCACATGCCACACGCCTCACGGCGAGTGGCAAGCTCGCCAGCTGCTTGAGTTTATAATTCAAATCGACATGCATTAGTGGACCACGACAGCGAGCAAAACATGGCGGCGAAGTTCTCTCGATGAGGGACCGCCATTGGTGGATAACCCGGTATGCCGAGTGCCGCAGTGACGACACCACCTTCGGCGGAAACTGCGCAGTTTCACATGCCAGGGAAAAGGCTGGAGGAAAAGGTCTTCCATGGAAAGGTCGCTGTGCTGGAAATGCCTTTACGGCATTCTCCATCCCTGGTTGATCACGTTTCCATAAGCTTCCTTGCGCGGAGGACCAACTTACTTCACGCAAAATTTTATCACGTGAGCCATTTCCTGCATGCAAACATGCGTCAAAAACCCACAAAAGCCAGGATTGGGCCTGGACTCACTGTTGGACCAGGACTCATATACTGACTCATTCCACAGGTGGGACGGTGCTCAAATGCAGACTCATCGGTTCAAGACAAATGATCTTGAAATCACATTCCGCCGCAAAATCATAGTTCTCCATCCATAAAGAGCATAGGGCAGAGAGCGCTGGATGCAATGCGATGCACATGAATAGAAAGCAGCGTGCCGAGTAGATGAGAAAGCAGGGTGCCGAATACGTAAGAAAGCGGGCGGCCGAGTAAATAAGAAGCAGCGTGCCGAATAATAAGAAAGTAGGCACGATGCGAAGACAAAGCACCAAGGAGCGCCAATGAAACCACGCGCTGACAACTTCCGTCGTCGCTCTGCCTTTGATACAATCTGCGCCTTACCCCCGGGGCCGCACTCAAGCCACCAGGAAGACAAAAGAAAACCTCTCATTAAAAAATCCGATCCTCTGCGATGAATGGGAGACCACCATACCCGCGCGAGCCGCGCGTCTCCAACGCCAGTGTTTAGGAACCGCCGGGTTTCCGTCCGTGGGTCGTCCATTCACGGCGTGTTTTTTTCAACCGAGTCATCAAGTCAACGGCATGTTTTTGGAGGCGGCCGGCGACATCTGTTTGCTTTTGGTCGGCGAGGCGGCGCCATATATCAGGGGCCGTCTCATCACCGCGGCTCCGGTGCACACCACATGGCGCCGAGAGAGCGCCGCGCACCGTCGCTTCACGGCGCCGGCGTCTCTCGTGGGATGGGGCCGCACGCGCCACCCGTCACCACCGTCCGCGCCGATAGCAACGCAGGCAACCCGCGCACACCCGGCAAGCAGTCCGAGGTGGCGAAGCCCAACAGACCTCCGACGGCGACAAGGACTGGAGCGATCCTTGCATGCGTTGAGGGTGAGGGTCAGGGGTGGGTGGGGGGTGGGGTCGAGGGAGGGGAAAGAGGGGCACGGCCTTGTTGCCCCGAGAGTGGGGTGTCAATATGTCCGGTTCGACCAGCGGTCCAGCTCGGCATAAACCAAACAAATTTGGGCGGGTCAGGCCGCCGGCTCCGAGGCCGGCACCGAGTGATGGACAGCAGCCAGATCGTCTGCAGCTGGTCTGCGACGGCGAGGGGGGGGGCCGGCCAGGCAGCTCGGACAGCGCGGGGGACCCGGGCAGAGGCGGCCGGACAGCGCGGGGGACCCGGCCAGAGGCGGCCCGGACGGCGCGAGGCGCGCGTGGGACCCGGTCAGAGGTGGGCCGGACAGCGCGGGGGGACCCGGCCAGAGGCGGCGGACGCTGGTGCTTTGTATGGATGTTGGACACAATTTTTGGTTGGACAAACGGCATGCTCATCGCATTTACATGAAGCAAAAATGCGCTTTCGCTGCGCTGTCCAACAGGTACGGCGAGGTTCTTTCCCTCGCGGACACCAGAACTGACGTCTCATAACAATGACCGATACGTAACCTTTCTTCATATATATGTGCTCCCACAACCGGTGGCCTGTGGAGGGGTCCCGCAGCCTGAGTCGTGTCACCGAATTTAACATCACCCCCGTGCGTGTGGATGTCAAACATTAAACACGCGATGAACAGACTGATTGGGCGGACAGACGGCTGCCTCCTCTGGATCTCGCACGCAGGAGCAACGGGCATATTGCAGCACACATCATTCATCACTGAGTCGGTGACAGGTCTCACCGTCCGGCGGCCGGCCGTCCGAGCGGCTCGCCCCACGCACCTCCGTCAGCCAGATGGCGTCAACGTCCCTACGGGGGCGGGGGACACGGCACCGGCAGCCGCACGCCAGGGCGGCGGCGGCGGTCGGCCGGGGGGTCCCGAGAGCCGACGTCGCGGCAGCAGCAGCGGCGAGCGCGCCGCCCGCCGCTCGCAGCACAGCTCGGCGTAGCGGGAGACGGCGTCCGGCGGCGGCGGCGGCGGCTGGGGTCAGCCGCGGCGGCTCAGAGACCGGGCGCAGCGCCGCCGGCGGCGTCCAGGTGATCGGGCGGACCGGCCGCGCTGCCATGGCAACGCCGGCTCTGTCACGTGACCACGCTCACACCCGCACCACGCCACAACGTCGCGAGGCCACGAGCTCCCGCGGCGACGCGTGGCACCGTCGCCGGCGGCGTACTCGGAGTCGCAACCCGCAGCGCGCGCGGGTCAAGGTTGACGCTCGCCGCCTGCCCGGAGGCGGTGCGCGCGCCGGCCGCGCGTCGTTCGGCGACTGAGGCGCCGCCGGCGCGAGGCGTCGGCCCGGTGGAGGACCGCACAGCCAGCTGTGCTGCCCGCTGCAGTACGGCGCGCTTTTTCAAGGCCCCGCAGATGCGAACAGATAACAGCAGTGCGATTTTTCTCAGGCCAGATGACAGCAACAGCAATGCGGTCGCAGGCCGTACTGCTCAGATGCAGCAAGCTGTTAGCCCAGCTTCCTGCTTTGTTATTACATGTCAGTACAAATTCTCAGACATGGCGACTCCAAGACGTCGTCCCACAGTGCAACATGGAGGCCAACGCAAACAAGCCGTGGCCATCTCCCAGCCCCGTCCGCAGGGCCACCACCGCCACTGAAATCAAACGCCAAGTTTCTGGCCACCGAATTCTGCACCAAACATTGGCGCACACATGGCTCACCGCCCCAGCCCTCGTTTCCGGAACATGACCGCTGGCTGGTGGTGATGCCCTTGCGGCCCAGTGCAGGTCTCCTTGCGTGAGTGCTTGGTTGCCAGCTGAGCACCGCCTGCGCTGCGTTCGCCAGATCCCGAGCACCGTCTTCAGCTTCGTTCTCCGCCCCAGTGGACACTCCCATCGCCAGGAGTTCGCTGCGTTCACCAGATCCTGAGCACCGTCTTCAGCTCCGTTCTCCGCCCCAGTGGACGCTCCCATCGTCAGGATTTCGCGTTCCCCGGATCCTGAGCACCGTCTTCAGCTCCGTTCTCCGCCCCAGTGGACACTCCCATCGTCAGGAGTTCGCGTTCACCAGATCCTGAGCACCGTCTTCAGCTCCGTTCTCCGCCCCAGTGGACACTCCCATCGTCAGGAGTTCGCGTTCACCAGATCCTGAGCACCGTCTTCAGCTCCGTTCTCCGCCCCAGTGGACACTCCCATCGTCAGGATTTCGCGTTCCCCGGATCCTGAGCACCGTCTTCAGCTCCGTTCTCCGGCCCAGTGGACACTCCCATCGTCAGGAGTTCGCGTTCACCAGATCCTGAGCACCGTCTTCAGCTCCGACACTCCCATCGTCAGGAGTTCGCGTTCACCAGATCCTGAGCGCCGTCTTCAGCTCCGTTCTCCGCCCCAGGGGACACTCCCATCGTCAGGAGTTCGCGTTCACCAGATCCTGAGCACCGTCTTCAGCTCCGTTCTCCGCCCCAGGGGACACTCCCATCGTCAGGAGTGTATTTTCCTGTTCAGTTGTGGCAGGGGTGTGTTTTCACAAACAAGATTAGGGATAAGCGGGAGAAATAGCAACACCTGCCCTCAAAATGCAAAAAAGACGTTACAGGACTGGACTTCAGCATCCAAATTTTGGAAATAAAGTGAGCCATGTCTGTGGATAAATACGGTTTTGACTACTCTGAGGTAGGCTAAGGCATTTTGTCTTGCTCAGTAGCTCCAACTAAATTTGCAAAACTACGCCTTTGGCCGCAGCGGTTCGTGGGTTGTTGAGCCAGACCAGGACATAGCAGCGGCGCAAGAAATATCATTAGAAAATAAACCGATGATGAGTCCACAATGCCACTTGTGGCGCAATTTTTTCGTTTCTTTTGCAGCAGTGTTACCCATGTGTGATTCGAAGTCGCCTCGACCTACTTGCTCCATGTTCAGTAGGATACATTCAAAAACACACACACACACACACACACACACACATATATATATATATATTAATAATATATATATATATATATTTAAGCTAACACGCACCAGTTTTCGGAAACATGCTTACTGGCACAGTTCTGCTTCTATGCGGACCATATGCCGCTGGGCAAGCGGCAGACAGTGGCAAACGAACGCCTCGAACAAACCAACAAGGGACAAATCGTGATAAGAAGGGGCAAACAAACGCCTAGAACAAACCCCAAAAACGGGTGCCAACGCATGCGCGCACGGCTGACGACGAGCGCTTATGAGGGCAGATGATTCGGAGGAGCGGTGGAGTAGCCTACAAAACATTAGCAACCTCGTCAGCGCCGGCACAGTCACAATCTGCCGGGCCGTGAAGCTACTCGGGTACTCGCATGTGTGCTGTGAATGGGTGCTGCACTGCTTCCGACAAGAGCAGAAGAATGCACGCGCAGAGGCTGCGCAGGAGTGCTTGAGCAGTACGAAGCTGGCTACAAACAGGTTCCGGACTTAACAGTCACTTCTGATGAGACGCGGGCGCATTTCTGCGGCCCGCTGGCCGAAAACAAGAGCAAGGAGTAAAATAAATCCGACGAGAGGACCACACCCCAGCCCAAGCTCAGACACATGGGCGGGGGTTGTAGCGATTGGGGGGTTTGGTCGCGCCCTGCTACAATCATATTGCGCTGACGCGCGGGTGGGATGGCCATGTGTACGGTGTTCTGCGACACAGACAGCACAATCAGCACCGACGTCCTTCCCGGGATAAGACGATTAACTCCACATAGTACTCCTCGCACCGAAGAAGATTATTGGAGCCATGCCAAAAAAACACTATCCGAGAGAGGCCACAGATTTCAGCACCATCACGACAACGCACGACCTCACGTCGCCGTCGTGTGAGACGGCGACGCTTTTGAGAGGATGTGAAATCCCCACTACCCAACACCCGCTCTATTCGCCTGACCTGGCCCCGGCGACTTTTCCATTCTCCCAAAACTCAAGCGAGCAAAAGTGAAAAATAGTCTATCAGTGCCGGGGAGCTGGAACGGTATTGTGGCGCGTTTTCGGAGGCACCAGAAAAGGAGAGGCTGGTGCGGCCCGCAGGATGAGAGTGAAACGGCTTCGTAAGTGTGCACGGCTTGGATGCTAAGATATACTTATCTGTTGCATGTTGGCCTGGACTTTTAAAACAACTTCCACAAATTCTGAAGCGGCCCCTACAACTCGAGTACCGTCAGTGGCAAAACCCAAAAATCGCATATGTTCCAATCAGCGTGGTGAGAGGAAGGTTTGCGTGACATTTTGGTCGAGATCGGACCACTTTGCGTGATGCAGCGCGGGCAAATCTGCCCCATAGGCTGAGCAAAGGCCGGCGGGATTTGCTGCGAGCGACATAGCGACATCACATCAGTATCGAGCTTCTCCAGCCCTTTCACGGGTCTTGGCACGCTCTTGGCTCACTGTGTTCATGGACCGTGGTTGCCGTCCAATTTAAATTATAGCACAATTGTACCGCTTGTCAAAAACGTGTGTTTATTACAGGAGCGTTTGTTTTGAAAAATCGGCTGCGGGGAAATGAACCGATAAGGTTAATCTAACCTATCCCAGAACCTGATTTGTTCCCGGATTTCGGCCACTTTGGTTTACGTCTCCGATAACGGAATAGAATAACTCTTAAATGATCACGGATGATGACTTTGATATGGCTGCGAAGGTGTGACTACATTTCAGAGCGATGTGAAGGTATAATTTTTAAATGTTTTAAATGGAGTATGATTTACAGAAAAAAAACATCTGAGAAACTCGAGCCATTGTGATCAACGAACATAGGTGTCGTCCATCGTTGATCGAAGGTGGCTCCAGGCGCAAAAGACAGTACGGTGGGAAATGGCGTGGTCCGGCACGTACGGACAAGAGCATATAGGACATTTTGAGTGCACTGCCACGATGTAACTAAATATCATGTGTCAAAGCATTATATGTTTGAGCATTACATATCTAAACATAAAACTTATTTTACACGACCTTCTCACGAAACATGTCAATAATTATGAAGACAATTTGGGTTGATACTGGCGACCGGATGCGTCTCCGCAGCGGCCGTCTTAAAAAAATGTCGCGACCAACGCTTTGACATGTGCCGGAAGTTGATATAAGCAAGAAGGGTTGTGAATCTTTATGCTTCGGGGATGATGAGTTGGGAGTTTGCATGCTGAAATTAATAAATCTTGCGCGTACCAGAGGGTTGGATAAAGCCATGTCATCAAAGAGGCATTGGTCATACAGAGGAAACTGTAGGTTTCGAAGCTGTGCACATGGCCAGATATATTAGCAAAAGGTGATCAACACCATCCCAACATTTCTTTTGCTCTGGAACAGAACCGCACAAAATGTTACATTCCAATCCTTGACACCCTTTTTGTGGTACAAACTGGCGGAAGATACAGCACCGAACTGTACTTTAAATCGTCCTGCCCAGCAGAGCAGTTCAATCTGTTCTGATAGATCGGCTGGTTAGAACGCCTGCATTCTGATTCACAGACCTGCGGCGGGGTGGGTTCGAGTCGCCTGAGTCGTGCGCTTTTCCCCTTTACTGGCACAGCCTACGGCCGGTGGCAGCGCCCGCGCCAGGAAAGCAAACAGACTGTGTCTGTGTGAAGCTACCGTTTTCACAAAGTGCCCCAGTAAAAGTTAACTCACGTTTCACTCAGCGGTGACGAAAGTATTTCTCGCACACCAAGACAGCGGTAGTATTCAATAACCACTCAATGGTAACGCGTGATAAAAAGCAATGGTAGTCAAACGTGATCTGCATTCGTCAAATCATGACTCCACAGAAGATGTCCCTTGAGGACGAGATCGAGGATCCTGTCAACACCACCCAGAGAGCAACATCGCTACCGCTCTGATACCCTCCTAGGCGGCCCTGGGGCCACTTCACAGGCTCTAGTGTGACGAGGAGTAGCTTCAGCAACATTTTGCACGGCATGGACTTTCCTGGATTAGTTCATCACTTCGTTTCGTTCACTGAATCGTTTCGCTGAAATGCACAACATCCAAAAACTGCCGTGCTGTGGCTCTCACCCTTAAAACCTTTCATGATCAGCAACTCAAACGTTCAACTTATTTTGCTCGGCACACATCGGACAGAACTCAGCGTGGATCACTGGGCTCATCCCTTATAGTACGGACTTGGATCATGCAGAGCTGCGCTCGGGCCGTGCGTGTGGTATGCCCTGACGCTGCCCTGCGTGCGACATGACCTAACTCAGCAACCCCGGACTGGCAACGTCATTACCGGAGAGCCCTGCACCTGCTGCTCAGTGCAGTGAGTAGCAGCCACGGCGGCGGCGGATGCCATTGCTGCAGCGTCCAATGTGTCCAGATTGTGTGTCAATACGCCCAGTTACGAAAGACCATCTGAGCCTGCGCGGTATGACCTTGCCCTATACAGCTCCGCTTCGCTCGGGAACTACACACCGGGTAAAATGCGCATTAGTTCGTAATCGCAGCTCAATAAATAGCTATACCGGATATGCGCGAGGAAGACCTCCAGATCCTATTTGTTTCGACTCGTAAGTTTTCATAGTAAAATGCCGACATTCCATAATAAGTGAATGCCAGGTTATCAAGCAGCGATAGGTATGGAGAAAATGGACGTTTCATGGTGACGCTGATGGTTACAAGCGCTACCATGAAACGTCACGTTTTCACAATGTATACAATGTATGATCTGATAAGTTGTTTAACCAATATCTTCTGGTACGTATACTGAACGCCGACCTTTGCAAAGAATTACTACTACGCCAACAGCTGGTAAAAGGACAGTCACTCATTTCAGCCCTTTCGCTCTTTTCGACAGCTGACCACCAGAGATAATCTGCTAGATGGTCCAGCGGCACATGTGACGGTTAGGATCACTAACACTGCAACCTCTCACGTCCAATCCCACGACAGAACCGGTGAAATGTTCGAGCAGTGCGCGGGATTCGAACCAACGTCCCAGTGCTGGACCCGGTATCGCACCATTCACGCCCGCTCCTCGTCTCCCCGTCAGCGCTGGCGAATGGTTTAGTTCCGCAGCTCACCGCCAGGGCCGAGTCAGCGCGTCGTCGGAAGAGTTCGGCGCGTCGGCCGAGCTCTCGCCACTTGTCCTGTAGCTTGGCCGCCTCCCGACCGATAGCCCTCGCCTGCTCCAGACTCTGGTCCAGCTCGGAGCGACGCTCCCGGCCGTAGCCATCGCGCTCGCCTCGACCTGTGGACACGGGTCAGCTCAGCGCGCGCCAATCGCCCACCACAGCCTGTGGACACGGGGCGGCTCGGGGCAAGCCAATCGCTCATCGCGGCCTGTGGATACGGGTCGGCTCAGGACACGCCAATCGCCCACCACAGCCTGTGGACACGGGTCAGCTCAGGGTACGCCAATCGCCCATCACGGCTTGTGGACACGGGTCAGCTCAGCGCGCGCCAATCGCCCATCACGGCCTGTGGACACGAGTTAGCTCAGCGCGCGCCAATCGCCCATCACGGCCTGTGGTCACAGGTCAGCTCAGCGCGCGCCAATCGCCCGACGCGCCAGACCGGCGCCGCAGCGGCGAGAGAGGGACATGATAGGCTAGTCGCCTGTCGGAAGAACACGCTCACTTGGGAGCGCGTGACACGTGACACGTGACGTGACGAGACGCGGGATGTGACGCGACATGTGATGTGACACGTGACACGTGACGCAGCACGTGTGCGATACGTGACACGTGACGTGTCGCACGTGACACGTGACACCCGCCACGTCCATGGATAAGGCATAGACGTGGGAGTTACGGGCACGCTGGCTTCGTTACGTGGTGACTGCTAAAATAAGTCACAATCTCAGTCACAGTTCGACGGAAACAAACCATCGATGGTACTGAGCTTAGAGAGAAAGGTATCCTCGGCGTCGCTGGCCGGAGGCACTTTATGCTGGGACGTTGCTGTCTTGCAACTAGATCAGGAGGGATCTTCACTGCCCCCACTGTAGCTACGAACTACTACGGACTACGAACTTCCACGGACTGCCCCCACTACAGACTACGAGCGTAGCCAAAAAGTAGGGCGTGACCTACTGGAATCCTGTGCACTTCCAGGCGGCAGCCGGGATCATACAACCGTTCATACGATTTGGGCCCCAGATAATCGTGTTGTACCCCCGGGGCTTAAGCCAGTCTCCAGAAATCGCCTGGCCATTCATCTGTCCCAGGGCGGCAAATCCTGGTGGACACGCCCTGGCAGGTGCCTCAGCTGTCACCAGGGACGGACACACCTCTCCCTGCCTAGAGCGACCCATACCTTCGCTGTCGCTAGACTCGCAGTGGATGGTTGGCTCAGCGCTATCCCTGCCCACTGTGAGCCATACCATCGGTGTTGCTGGCCTTGCAGTGAAGGGCGGGGGGGGGGGGGGGGGGAGGGTTCGGAGCTCTCCGTGCCCAATGTGAGCCACACCTTCGGTGTCGCTAGTCTCGCAGTGGAGGGCGGGCTGAGAGCTCTCCCTGCCTACAATGGGGCATACCTTCACTGTCGTTGGCCTCGCAGTGGAGGGCGAGCTCAGAGCTCTCCCTGTCACATGTGAGCCGTACCTTCAGTATCGCTGGCCTCGCAGTGTAAGGCAGGCTCGGAGCTGACCGCTCTGGCGGCGCTCAGCTTGCTACTGATGAGCGCCTGGCGGTCCGACAGCTGGCTCAGCAGAGAGCGGGCATCCTCCTGCGCGAGAGCGAACGCTGTGATCCGCAGCCATTACCAGAAACACGCAGCATCCCAGCTTGGAGAGAAAAGTGGGCCAGCTCCAGAGATATGCATCTTTTTTGCTACTGCCACAAGTTGGGTTAGATTTTGCAGTTTTCCTCCGCTCGGTCCTCCCAAAACAGTCTATTTTGCGAAATTACACCCGCATCCCAAACAATTTCTATCGGCATTCAGAAAGTGGATAGCTTGGATGATAATTTGCGTCGATTGTATGTGTCGTGGTACTGATATTTCTGCTATATCCAAATGGCATCGCATGACCCCATCATCTGAATTTATTGATTTATGTTCGCTGATTCACAGTTGCAGCATGCTAGCAGGCAAAAGTGTAACCGAAGAACAACATTCTTAAGATGCACCTTGACTCAACCATTTCGACGTCCCGTTTGAACCACAAACAAACTCCAGTCCCTTGTTCGTTTACAAAAGCAGCTAAATCGAACCCAACGACCGAACAGACACGAACTCGCCGCAAACGGCTAAACACTGCGTAAAATCAGCTGGCGCAGCGGCGAGACATTCCGCACACAATCAGCTGACAGAGCGGCCGAATATTCCGAGCCGCGTCGTCTGTCGTGGCGCGACGGCGTTGGCCGCTGCCCGGGCTGCAGCGGAGCAACTGTCGGTGTCTCGCCGCAGCAGTGGTCAGGCCCCGGCTGGTGCCACTGGCCGCTGCCCCGGCTGCAGCGGGGCAACTGTCGGTGTCCCGCCGCAGCAGTGGTCAGACCCCGGCTGGTGCCACTGGCCGCTGCCCCGGCTGCAGCGGGGCAACTGTCGGTGTCCCGCCGCAGCAGTGGTCAGACCCCGGCTGGTGCCACTGGCCGCTGCCCCGGCTGCAGCGGAGCAACTGTCGGTGTCTCGCCGCAGCAGTGGTCAGGCCCCGGCTGAGGCCACTGGCCGCTGCCCGGCTACCGACCTGCTGCTGCTGGAGCGCCGCTGCGTCCGCGCGGAGCGGCTCCAGCTGATTGAGCTCCGTCTCCTTCCTGATGACCCACTCCAGCAGCTCCTGCAGGAGAGCAGCAGCCCGCCGCGCCCCTCGCGGCCCAGCTCCGCCTGCGACCTGCGGACGGCACCGGCGCCGGGTCAGCTGAGGTGGACCTCAGCGGCCACTGCGGCGGACACAGGTGGTTACATATCTGAAGGATTGGGGATCCTCCTGAATGGGTAGATCGTGTGGACTACACACACGAGGGGAGAATCCTATGAACGTGGATGTGGCAAAGGTGCGGAAATGCACGTCTCGCAAGTCGGAATCGCGATCTTAGGCCAATGTTCATCAACGTTAGTGTGACCGTCGCCACGCCTGAGGCCGTACCTGCGATCTCCACTCTCCACTCATGTCCGCACTGGACAAAGTAAGAGGAAACACGTCTAAACGTGACGGAGGACACAAATCGCATGATATTTTCGCCGTGCCAGTCATATCTTGTCTGTTATCATAGTTATCTGTTATCGTAGTTATCTCTGGTAGATCATCAGAGCCTACTGGTCTCCGTGGTAAACGCGTGGCTCTCCAGTTCAAGCATTATGACCTAACCGTGTGACCGTACGGCTGTGACGTCACTGTGGCCTGGCCGCGTGAATGTCAAGCTGACCTGGTTTCAAAAATCATCCTCAGTAATCGATCAACGATGGCACACACCCAACATGTGCGCAAACACGTGCCATAACTCACAACTCTCATCCTGCGTGCTTCCAGCCCACTGGCACGGCGTCCCGTTAGTTGCGGGCACGTCCGCGCGATGTCGCTGCTGATGAGAACAAGTGTGCAGATGGCGCTAATGCTTCCCCGCCCCGGCACGGATCCAAGCGCAATCAAGCAGGCAGGCGCTCATGGATGACATGTCTCTGTCCTAGCCATGGTCATAATAACGCACTGTGCCGTAACACATTCTCTTCATGGAAGTAGACTGAGAGTTTCCGTATCGAACTCAGATGACGGAATTGTCAACATGACGTGGTGGGAACGACACGATAACATTTAAACGTCAAGTGTTGTAAGACAATACATGACCATAGTTGGCCACTGCAGTGCAATTTTTGGCAAATAACGAAGCACCTTGGAAAATGTTCATAAGCGCAAAGTGTCTAAGATCCAGGGCTGAAACTTTTCAGCGCGCATAAACAAGGCAGGGATGAAACCAGACGCAAACGTATCGCCAACGGTGCTGCATCGGAGACGCCTTCTCAGATGACAATTAAATTTGCCCAGAATGTTGTTGTATAATCTTAAAAGCCTTATGTCTGCACCAGAATTAATGGGACAACGGATCAGAAACATGAATTCCTATTTGGAAGTGAAATGTTGGGTTAGCCAGGAAAATGAAGAACGATGCGCGCCAGAGGTCGCGCTGCGTTACTCCCGTTCCTCTTACCGCGCTACTCTCGAGAGCGTTACTCTTGAATCCAAACGCATCTATTCCTCACTTCAAGTGCCTTTGGAGCTCTCCTCCTGCTTTCCGCTTGCAGCATCCACGCTCGCAGCGCATTCTAACCGCCATTAATTATTGTCTTTGCTTGGCGTCAGCTGTGACCCTCGGAAACGAAACGATGACACAACCGTGAGCACAAAACTGGGGCGTGTTTGTCCATCGTTAACTCAGGGCATTGGGGGGACACCGCCAGTTGATTTTGCGAGGCTGGCTGCCGGGGCGGCGGAACCCACAGAGTTCACTGTATTTTTTCCGGGACCCTGACGCGGCGGACGAGTGGTTCGAGGTGTTGCCCCAGTTGAGTCGAGCGGCATCCCACGGGAGGCCGGCGGCAGGAACACCAACAGGAGCGGGGGAAATCGATGACAAGAGTCACCTGGGAGCGCCGCAGTGAGCCGTCTTAAAAGGAAGGCGGCGGATGAATACGAATGACGCGTCCCATCAGGTCCCGTTTGTGTCCGCTATTGTGCGGGCTTTCAGGCTATTCGTCTGTCTAGACGTGAGGGCTGACAAAAATAGTTTGATTTGATTTGATTTGTTATCTGTTGAGTTCTGATCACTCTATTTCTGCTGAGATTAATTAAATGTTTTCTGCGGGATCCATATCGCTCGACTGGTAACAATGGTCTTTGCGCATGACCCCGATGGCTGCATGCGCCAAACAATACATGTTTTTTGTATGCACCTTGAACCTATCACCCGATAGCCGCTACCCTAGTTTTTTGGTCACCGCTTACAGCTCTTTGTGAAAGCGAGAAAAGCGTGTTTTTTTCCGCGGCGTCGCCTACCAAAACAGGCGACCTTTTCAGTGAATAACATCAGTCGTCTTTCGGGCCCTGTCCTCCGCCATGTCACGGCCCAGTGACTAGACGCCACGCTCTGTACGAGGGGCGTGACCCAAGTTAGGCGTGTCGCAGACACGGGCGACGCTGGCATCAAAGCTGATGACGGCTAGGTGACACAATGGCCATTGAAACGCAAATCAGACGCGTGCTGGTCCAGGAAACAAATGCTAGTTTTTGCCGGACGACGTGGTAATAGCATGGTGGCAGGGGCACACCCAAGTGCGGAATAGCTGGGTGTACCTTCCTTTCCGTTCGTGTAGTGTTGTTTTTACGTGTTCAGTGCATCGTTTGTGCGAATAAGTATGCCGCTGATGCGGAGAAGTGGAAGTTATCCCTGGCGAGAAAACTGCAGCGACGATGAAAAGGGAAAGACCAAAACCAAAATGGAAATAAACTGCATCCGTGGTGTGGTATATCGAGAACGAGAACCGGCCACCCTGTAAGTTACACGACCTCTGATGACTGGTGTCTGGACAGCCCAGATGTTCACCCAGACATCGAGACGTTTTCATGCCGCAGACAGTGGCTGATTGCGAAAGACAATTGTTTGCAAGTTCGGCAAACATGTCTGTGACCACGCGTAAAGAAACCAGCATCAGACCTTAAGAAGGGGCCCGAAGTCAGTTGTGTAATGGCAAGTTTAAAAGGTCGGCATCAACTGCATTTAAATCAATTAAAAACAGTGCAGTCCAAGTTTTTCCTCGTTTGGAATAAACCATGATCTCGATGGCCCATGGGCTGGCTCTTGATCGCGCACCCACGTTGGTGCGTGTGGGTCTTGATGGACGGCACTGTGAGAATGGCGCGCATTGACTGACATTGCGCCATGGCGTGCTTCGCTCTGGTGCGAGCTGACGTTCTACAGAGCATGACATATCGACAAATAGCACAACATATGCTCTGTTGTGCTGTCTTGCGATCATTCACATGCACGCCTGGTTCGGCTGATCGCAGCTGCTGGTCGTTGGTCCCCATTATGCCGTGGCACGCGCTTCATCAATTCGTCGCCTATTCGTTCTGTCGCGTTATGCGTGACACTTGGAACTCCATGGAGTTCGTGAAAGGTTGTCGTATGCAACAAGCAACCACAACCCTGAATAGGTAAAATAAAGCCCCCACTCGGTGCTGGATCATAACGCAGCTATGCACGTTCTCTCCCCACCCCCTCCCCCGAAGCCAATTTTAAGCTGTCGATCAACGTCTGTTTGTGATCGCTCCATCAATCCAGCAAGTGCATTATTGGCTTTGAGCCAGCAAGGTGCCCTGTTCGCATCGCGGACATGACGCCAAGTAGACCATGGCCCATCTCCTCACGTAAAAGTGTTGCATCAACCCAGCGGTCATGCCTGGTAAATGATGACCTCCATGAAGAGTCTGACCCACCCACTGTTTAGGACGTGCTTACTTCGCTGGAAGAGTCCCTGCTCACGTTCTCTGTCGCCAGTGCGTGACTGTCGCCGCAGACACCGCTCCAGACAACGAAGCAGAATTGACCGCCACGCCCCGGTCACGTCACCGGCCGGCACGCCGCCGCGCCGCGATCACGTGACTGACCGAGCTCATCGCTGATCCCCGTCATTGGTCGCCGGCATCTGCGCGGGCCCGGGCGACCCCTCCCCCCTCTCGGTGACCCCTCCCCCCGGAGGGGTGCTGTTGACGTCAACTGTCGCGGGTGGCGAGGTAAATACGGCTGCCGGGTGCCATGTGGCGGGTGAAAGGTCACAAGGGGATGGGGTGAGGCGACAAGTCCGCGTAACCAGTCCATCGATTCGGAAGAGATGAGAAGAGGGCTGACCTGGAGGCAGTGTCACTGTAGCCGGTTATGCACGTGCATTTAGCAGATGTTATTGGAGCCGTCACTCATATGATGGTATTTGGGGACATTTATTCGGACAGTCCGCCCGACTTCGAAATACTGGGCAGCTTTAAAAAAATCATGGAAATTCACACCATACGTTGAGCGGTGGGGCAGGGGACTAAGCAGCAAACGGTAATGAAACTTGCCCCCAAAATTCGCCAAAAATCCAATTTCGTTTCAGATATAGTACACTTTCTTCCCAACGTTGGAGGAAGCTGAAGCCCAGGATGGCGGGCGGATCTGGGACCCCCAAAGTGGGTAGGACATGCCAACCACACGTACAAGCCTCTTACGGCTCTGAACTTTAGCTTCGGGGAAATAAGCGGCGTTAAGAAAAGATGGCTTGGAACTCCAAAGCTCCCACCAAATATTTTGAAGGGTTGGTTTTCGAAAGCTCGTATAAAATAGGGAAAGATGCGGGGCATCTAATTTTGGGATTACTTTAAAAAACAAAACTAGCGGGCAGTGAAACCATGTCGGACAGACAACACGACTCGGTAAACGATGCTCGCGATCAGTTATCGGACGTCCGAGGCACTGCATGCCGGTTTTGTTTCCACATGCAAATGCACAATATATAATATATATATATATATATATATATATATGCATGCTGTTGAATGTAGGAACTATAGTTCTGTAGCCTCAATCATCAAAAAGCCAGGCGAAGAGCCCAAGCACTTCGAAATCACGTCTGATGACTTACAAGCATACGTGTAAAGGACATCTCACTTCCGCTGACAAACTACGCTTAACTGCCGAAAAATAAGGATCTGGGCCAATAGCGATATATTTCTTGACTCCCTTTAACATAGCACGGCGAGATTATAAAATGAATAACTTTGTAATTTTCCTGGTAAAACCTAAACCCAAGCCAGAAGTAGCTAGCGGCGCGAACAAACCCTTACAGTGCAATCAGGCTCTACCATAGCCAAGCTTAACCACGAGACAGCCAGAGGGCGCTGCGGAAACAGCGGCTCTGTTTATGTCGTTAAATCATAAAAAGGAATGCATGAAAAACATCGGCGTTTAAAACTCGTCAGCACACTTGCCAGACACATGACGGCGTCTTATACACGGGCGAAGGTTGCAGGATAAACAATTCTGACCTCGCAGACGTCCCAAGCTTGGTCATAAATACTGGCCGCAAACGAAGAGCGCAGGGATCTATGAAACATACATTTCCAGGATGTGTTGGGGTGCA